GCCTCGCTGCCTGGCTCCGAGGGGCCTCGCCGTGAGGGAAGCGGGGTCCTGAAGGGACACGTCCTTCTCCTCCTCCTCCTCCTCCTCCGTAGCCATTTTGGCTCAAGATGTCCGATTCCTTCGGGGTCCGAGTGGAGACCTCTGACCCGAGGCTAGCACCCACCAGTTTGCAGCTCCAGGGACGCGCACCCCCCTGGAGTGAAGAGTGCCCTCCCGCAGAGGCGTGCGGCTGCGCGAGTCCCACCACCCGAGTCTGGCATTGGGGTCCAGAGTCACGATGGCGGGCAACGGTGCAGGAACGCTGCTGCTTGGGCCCAAGAGGCCGCATTGGGGATGCCCCCGCTGCGGTACGGCCAACAAGTGGGCATGTCGCCTTCAGTGCCGCTGTGGAGCGAGGGCGCCGCAGCGCATCATCTCGAAGGCCCGCCACGAGGATAATAACGCCAAAGCTGATGTCAATCCGAAGGGGCAGCCTCCTTCGCGTGGCGGAGGCAGCGGCGGTGGCAGGCTCGACTCATCCCAGTTGGCGCCGTGGGCTACGTCGAAGCTTGAGAAGGAGCTGGTGGCGCTGCGCAAGCAGGTCCAGCAGCTCAAGTCCGAGAAGAACAAGGCGCCTGCCCCGCACGAGGCGGCCCCCAACGGCACGTCCGAGGCAGCCGTGGAGGTCGATGGCAGCAATGTGGGAGCCAAAGACACGACAGCGACGGCTTCTCAGCGGAATGCTCTCCAGGTCAAGATTGGTCACTATGAGCAGTTCGTCAAGTCTCTCGCCCTCTACGAAGACAGTGAATGTGAGCAGCTACTGACAGCAAAGAAGCAGCTGGAGTCACTTCGAGTGCAGCTTCGCGAGCTGCGTCCGCCGTCGACGGCGCACAAGGTCGCAACGCAGAAACCCGAGCGCTGCCGTGCCCAGCTTGACCGTTTCCGCACAGAAGCTGCTGACCGCCGTGAAAAGATCGCAAAGTTGCAAGAGAAGCTGGACATCAAGGAGGCAGCCACCGTTCAGAAGGAGCTGCGCATAGCAAATGGTTTCGTCGTGCTGGCCGCCGCCGTCCTGCCGCTGTTCGAGAGGGAGGAGCGTTGGGCGCGGCTGAGACCTGTGCAGCGCAATGTGCATGTACAGCGCACGGGTTGGCACGAGTGGCAGCGCGCGATGTTAGGCGAGCAATGTCGCAAGTGTCTGTGTATTGCGGGTGACACGCATGATAAGCCACTGACAGGGTGTAGAGGCATGCCTGTGTACTTAGCTCAGTTCGTGTGTAATCCCCTTGGCCACACGCTAATTGCAGTGAGTCAGGGGGGTAGGTCCCCTGCCAGCCCAGGTTGTTTTCATCCATTGTATGTGTGCAGTAAGTGTGGCGCCTGGGCTCAGCAGTCCAGGCGAAACAAGTTGCGCAGACCCTGCGGGCCCCCCACCAGGAAGGGGCTTGAGGTCCTGGTTAATTTGCGTAATGGAGTGGGCCCACACAAGCGGCTCGCGCGCGTCAGGTTGATGCCGTGCTCCCAGCCAAGCAGTCTGTCTCTCGTGCTGTGAGGCGTCCAGAGCTTGAGACCGCCCGTGTTTCCAGAGCTCCTGTTGTCGAGGGCCCCCCGACCTACGAGTCCAGGATGGCTGCCCTCGCCGAGAGAATTCGTCTGAAAGAACAAGCTGCTTCAGGTTAGTTTGTTTTCAGGCCTGGCAACGTCGCCGTAAGTTGTGCACTGTCGTGCACGCGCCAGGGCCCTGAGCCGCTGGCGTGACCAGGTTGAGCCACCATCCTCTTAGAGTTTCAGCATTCAGCATTCAGCATCCTCCTCCTCTTCCCCCCTCCTCACTTTCCTCCTCTTCTTCCTCCTCTTCCTCCTCATCTTCTTCCTCTTCCTCCTCCTCCTCCTGCTCCTCCACCTCCTCCTCCTCCTCGTCCTCCTCGTCCTCTTCCTCCTCCTCCTCCTCCTCCTCCTCCTCCTACTCATCATCTCCTCCTCCTCAATCCTCCGCCTCCCCTCCTCCTCACCTCCTCCTCACGCCTCCGCATCCCCAATCAGTCCCCTCTTCCTCCCCCCCCTCCGCACTTCCTCCTCTTCCTCCCCCTCCTCCTCTTCCTCCTCTTCCTCTTCCTCCTCCTCCTTCTCCTCCTCCTCCTCCTCTTCCTCTGCTTCCCTTTGATCCCGGAACGCGCTCGGCGAGGCGCAGCTGCTGGAGAGCCTCGCGGGGCGGGAGGACACGGCCAATAACCGACGAAAAGCGCCCGAAGACCTCTCGCTTCGAGTCGCCTGCCTCTAGCCTCAAGTCAGGCACGCCCCTCTGCATGAGGAGCATTCAGAAGTAATAAAAATTAGTCAGGGGGCGGTGTTTTGAGTATTTTGTGTACTTCTGGAGTATTTTTCGCAACTTTTAATTTTTCGTGCGCGATCCCCCTGTAGGGGGACAGGCCCGACCTAACTCTAGCCCTGCCCCAGAACGCTTTCAGCGAGGCGCAGCTGCTGGAGAGCCTCGCGGGGCGGGATATCATTGCCGAAAACCCACGACAAGCGCCCGAAGACCTCTGGATTCGAGTCGCCTGCCTCTAGCCCTGCCTCAGAATGCTCTCGGCGAGGCGCAGCTGCTGGAGAGCCTCGCGGGGCGGGAAAACATTGCCGAGAGCCCACGAAGGCGTCCGAACACCTCTGGTTCCGAATCGCCCATCCCTGGCCTTCGGTCGGGCATGTCGTCGTACAGGCGGATGCTGGAAGGAGCAACAACAAAGTAACCAACAGCTGATCAAACATAGTCCAAAGAGCACGACCAATCGTGGCCATATCATCTTTGGGAGATTCTTGAATGACCCTCCCGCAGAGGGACATGCCCGATTTAACCCTAGCCTTAGGATGTTCCAACCTACCTTGACTACCAGGAAAAAATCGAGCGCCAAGAAATTACCGAAACTTGAGGTTTTTCATGTGCCGGGCCCCGGGAGGCGACACTCGTTCGACACTGTTTCGATACTTTTCTAGGTGCTCGAAATTACAGGCGGCCCGGATTAGTAGGTCGACCCTGCCAGATCAAGGGCACCCTCGTGTCCTGTGCCTCGCGACCCGTGCCTCCTGCATCTCTGTGGCAACGTGTTCCCCGGAAGGGCCTTCTGTCCTCTCGCGTGCCCTCTCCAATCAAGGCCGACCGTATTTAGGGGATCTGGTCCTTCAGCACGATGGGAGCACCATGACCCAGACCCCCGACGTCGTGATTTTCTGACAACGTCGACCTCCAGAGGTCTGGACCCCTTCCCCGGGACCGGGTTTTCATCCTGAGTCGTTTTTTGACGGTCCCGAGGCCTGGCGAGGGCCCTCCGAGGCCGAAAATAGCCAAAAAGAACCTCCCGTCGTGATTTTTTCGCTACGCGAGGGGTTCTGGGGACCCTGGCCCTGCCGCGGCTGCCCCCGAACGCGCAGGAACTCCAGGCCGGCCTGAGCCGCGACCTCGAGCGGAGGAGGAGGAGGAGGAGGAGGAGGAGGAGGAGGAGGAGGAGGAGGAGGAGGAGGAGGAGGAGGAGGAGGAGGAGGCGGAGGAGGAGGAGGAGGAGGAGAGGAGGAGGAGGAGGAGGGGAGGAGGAGGAGGAGGAGGAGGAGGAGTCGGAGGAGGAGGAGGAGGAGGAGGGCCCTGTCCTGGCTGCCCCCGCGCGCGTAGGAGCTCCAGGCCGGCCTGAGCCGCGACCTCGAGCGCCTCGCGGCCGAGGCGCGCGAGGCCGCCGCCGGCGCGAGGGCCAGCGAGCTTCGGCTGCGCCCGGGGCCCGGCCGCCCCTCTCCTTCTCGGAGGCCTGGGGGGGTTGGGCACCAGCATTAAGTCTGGGGACTTTCTCTTCCCCACATCCTAAGTGGGGTTCTTGTTTTCTCTGCACACCCTCCGCGCAGGATCTCTCGTCCTCCTCCCTCTCCTCTGCTCCTCTTTGCTTCCTCCTCCGCATCATCATCACCATCACCATCACTCCCCACTCATCATCATCATCATCACCATCAGTATTACCATCACCATCGCACGATCACTCACCATCATCGGCATCGAACGATCATCATCATCATCATCATCATCATCATCATCATCATCATCATCATCATCATCATCACTACTCGCTGACTCACCACTTCGTCCCCATCATCATCACCACCATTTACCATCATAATCGCACGATCACTCACCATCAGCACTCATCATCACCACCATCATCATCATCACGTCGTCACGCAGCTCACGTGGTTCCTCCGGGTCATCCTCCGGCGCGCGCTTCCTCTGGGTCGTCCTCCGGCGCGTATCGGCTGGGACGCACGTCGTGCGCTTCCTCTGGGTCGTGTTCCGCACGAGGACGAGGAGGAGGAGGATTGCCAGGAAAAGGAGGAGGGATGATGCAGGACGAGACAGGAAAGGCAGGAAGAGGAAGAGGCTGAGGGGAGGAAGGACGAGGAGGAAAAGGAGGAGGAGGAATGCCCGAGGAGGCCCCAGTAGGTCCCGGAAGGCCCAGAAGGCTCCAGGAGGCCCCAAGAGGCCCCAGGAGGCCCCAGGAGGGGGCAGGAGGCCTAAGGAGGAGGCAGGAGGAGGAGGAGGAGGAGGAGGAGGAGGAGGGGGAGGAGGGGGGAGGAATATGGAAACGAGGAGGAGGAGGAGGAGGAGGAGGAGGAGGAGGAGGAAGCGGATGAGGGAGAGGGAGAGCAGGAGGAGGACAGGGGATGAAGAGGAGGAGGAGGAGGAGAAGGGAGAGGGAGAGCAGGAGGAGGAGGCAGGAGGCAGGAGGGGCAGGGGGAATGGGGGGGAGGAAGCATAACGAGGGGGAGGGGGAGGAGGTGGAGCAGGCAAGAAGAGGAGGAAGAGGCAGGGGTTGAGGCAGGAGGAGGAGCAGACAGGAGGAGAACGAGGAGGCAAGAGTAGGTGGGAGAAGGGAAGGGGCAGGAGGATACCCCCATGCAAGCTAAAGAGATTCTCATGTGGGGTCCTTCCGTCGGAGTAATTGAATATTTTTGGACCTTTTTGAGGTGTTTTTGGGGTATTATTGTTTTCGTCGAAAATCCCCCTGTAGGGGGACAGTCCCGACTTAACACCAGCACCACTCACATCAGGAGGGGAACAAAAACACAGACACAAGTACTCGTCGATTCCCAGGAGCATGTGGAAAAGTGTGGAGCGTGGAGGGGAAGTCAAATACCCAGAAAACATATGGGCAGATATTGGGGAATCCTTTACACACACATATATATATATACGTATGTGTGTGTGTGTGTGTATTTGTTTGTGTGTCTCGGGGCCCCTTCACGTTATTGGCAGCGTGCCTCCACCGAGGGAAGCTGACTCCGTTTTTTGGGGCATTTCCCGTAAACTTTTTCGCGCCCCCCCTACACCCACCCCTTTTTCAAATTCACTTCTCTTTTTCTATCCTTTTTTATTTTTTTTGTTTTTTTTATTTTTACTTTTCTTTTTTTAGTTAGGTTATTTCTTTTTACTTTCTTTTTTTGCTTCCTTTGCTTTATTTTTTATTTCTTTCTTTTTTTTTTTTTTTTTTATTTATTTTGTTTTTTTTTTCAATTTGTTTAGATATCGTTTTAGTATGTTTTTTTTTTATCTTTTTCTTTTTCTCTTCCTTGTTTTTCAGTTTCTTTTTTTTTTCTTTTTTTTTATTATAGTTTTTCTTTTTTTATTTTTTGTTTAGTAGGTTTTTATTTTATTTATTTTTTTATCTTTTTCTTTAGTTTTTTGTTTGTTCTATTTTTGTATTTTTTTATTTTTCTTTTTTTCAGTTTTTTTGTTTATTTTTTTCCATTAGTTTTTTTTGTTTCTAATTTTTTTTTTTTATCTTATTGGGGGTTGTTGCGAACCCTGGGAGAACAGCTCCTCCTCCTCCTCCTCCTCCTCCTCCTCCTCCGCCTCCTCCTACTCCTCCTCCTCCTCCTCCTCCTCCTCCTCCTCCTCCTCCTCCTCCTCCTCCTCCTCCTCCTCCTCCTCCTCCTCCCCCTCCCCCTCCCCCTCCTCCTTCTCCTGGAGCTGCGACTGGCGCCTTTCTCTCGTCCCCACATTGCGCTGAACCCAGTTTCTCGAAACCTACGGATGTCAGGACGTCGCGCAGTTGTGCGAACATCTCTAGTAGCAGTGGCATTTCCAGGCTCCCTGTCCAGCCCCCGTTGCCTGGAGCGGGGCATTCTAAAGCCAGGCAGCCTGTGCAGTCCCCTCCGCCTGGTGAGGGGCATTTCCACCCTGACAGCCTCGAGACGGAGGATGAGATGGCTCGTCTTTTGCTCGGAGCTTCCGAGGAGGAGGAGGAGGTTGTCGTCAGGTCGTCGTCGGTGGATGGCGGAGGAGGTCCTTTACACCAGGGGTAGTGTGCTGTGTCGTCCTGCCGCTTTTGCGTCGCTTGATTGGGCGTTTGCACGTGTGTCAGGCACCCCAGTTGTGGGAGAAGTTGCGCAGCACGCGTGTTATGTCTTTACTTTTCTGGGCCTGGCACGGGGGCGAGTCAGCCCCGACCGATGCCTTGCCCTTCAGGTTTTTTGTCTCTGCCGCTTGAAGCCCTTGCACCTTGCGTTGGAGCGGGAAAT